GACCCGGGATTTGAACCCGCTTCACTCAGTTTCCCAAGCGAGCGCGTTACCACTGGGCTACAACTGCCTTTGTTATGTACAATTCTTTGCCAACACTGTACCTATGTACCAAAGATAGATTAGAGTGAAAGAGAATTAGCGAGATACCTACTTAACTGTTTGTTGCCATGGTAACCGTTGTTATCTATACTAATATTATAAAGAGGTAAAGTTTGTGAGTTTGTGGGTTTGTGAAGTTGTAGGGGGTAATCTCTGGATCTACTGAACCGATTTTCAAAATTCTTTTACCAATAGAAAGCCACGTTCTTTTTGAGTGTCATAGGCTATATATTAATCCAAAGAATGAAAAGGCTTTTTCGTGGTAGTCGGATTTGCAAAGTAAGGCGGAGAAAAAACGGTCGAACGAAAACGTTTCTTACGAACGCTGTCTTAACGATGAGAGATGTATGATTATGTTCTAGAGAAAAGTTGTAGAGCTTAATAATGCTTACAAAAAAGTCAGCGACAGCATATGTCTAACTTTTATATTTAAGTCACAAAAAGTAGTTTTTATATTAAAAAAATAATTGAAATCGGTAGGTCATGTTTATTGGTCATATTATCAACAATTATGAATTCTTATCAAAATAAGTAAATTTATCGTCTAAAATGTTTAAAATAAAAGACTTTTCCCTTTTATTGCATATAATTTGGACAAATGGTTAAAGAGATAATACAACATATTCGTAGGTATGGACGAACCCGAGCGAGCTGTTTGTCTGTTTTTCTCTTTGTACGGGCTAAGCTCCGGATCTATTGGACCTATTTAAATGAAATTTTGCATGGTGGTACCTTATATCCCCGGGCAACATCTTAGATACTTTTCATCCCGAAAAATGAAAGAGTTCCCGTGGAATAGTTAAAAAACTATAACAACTTATACAGCTTAGTACACAAAAGCTACTGATTGGATTTTAATGAAACTTTACAATAATATAGTTCATACATGATAAAAACAAATCAGCTACTTTTCATCCCAGAAAATGAAAGAGTTTCCGTGGGATAGTCAAATAACTATAGTAACTTATACAGCTTAGTATACAAAAACTACTGATTGGATTTTGATGAAACTTTACAATAATATAATTCATACATCAGAATAACAAATAGGTTTTTTTTATCGTTCTCTCAGACATGCAGGTTTCCTCACGATGTTTTACTTCACCGTTAAGACAAGTGGTAATTGTGTTAGAAATGATTCGCACATGAAAATATCAGAGGTGCGAGACCCAGGATTTGAACTTGCTTCACTCGGTTTCCCAATCGAGCACGTTACCACTGGGATACCACTGCCTAGATACCTTTTACTTAAAGAAAATCTTTCTTTCCCACGGGAAAATACAATAACTGATTTTATCGAGTCCTTCCTAGAAACCTTCCGCTGGCTAAGCCTTAAGACATACATACATCAAAACAATATACTAAAAAATTGTAGGTCTTGAAAAGTCCTACAGAAAAGTTCTGAATAGTATATGTCTATCTCCTAAGTTACACTCGCAATATTTATTTCTTATACCTATAATAAAACTTAGTCAAACGATGTGTGCGTTTCACGCAATAAGTAATCAACCAATTTTAACTTAATTTTGTATAGTGATAAAACTTAGTGCTCGGGTTAACATTCAGAATACCTTTAACGACAGGCAAATTATTCATTCCCACGGGAAAACAGAATAACTGGTTCTATCGAATTGTCCTTAGAAATTTATATGGCTCACGTTGGCTCATCAAAACATTGTACAAGAAAATTATAAGTCTTAAAAAGGTCTATAGAAAAGTTCTACATAATATATGTCTATCTCCTAAGGTACACTCGCTATAACTATTTTCATTATTATATATTACTGTTTTATTTTACGTTATTTATTCTATCTGAATATACATATATGAATAATAAAACTGTAGAGGTCGAATGTCTGTACATAGATGGTAGAAAAAAATGCTAAAAAACCAGTCAGTTCTCTTCTTACATTACGTAAGGAGAGAAATAGAACAAATCCAGATTTTTTAAATTTTTTGTTTCTCTGTCTGTTTGTACGGGCTAATCTCCGATACTATTGAACCTATTTAAATGAAATTTGATACTTTTCATTCCGGAAAATTAAAGAGTTCCCGTGGGATAGTTAAAAAACTATAGTAACTTATACAGCTCAGTACACAACAACTTATGCACCTAATTTAGTAAAATTAGGCATGCTGATACCTTATATTGCAGGTCAAACAACAGGTTACTTATTTTTATCCCGGAAAAATTAACGGTTCCCGTGGGATAGACCTGTTTGCGCTTTTCTAGAGGTGAACCCGAGCGAAGCGAGGGTTAGCCGCTAGTTCTTTGATAAATCTGTACATTTAATATTTTAACTAAGCTCTACTAAGTACATTAAATATTTTTTGGAAAATCTTATTGAAATAGACTTTATTATCCATACAGAGGCCGAATCTATAGTTTTTAGAATTTTTGTCTGTGTCTGTTACCGCATCTCGGAAAAACTACTGGAGGGATTTCGATGAAATTTGGTATAATGTTAGCTGGTTATCCGGGTCAACAAATAGGATACTTTTTACTGCGGGGAAAATATCTCATCTCTGAGAAATCTATACTAAACGTTAAAATGTAAGTAAGGACGAACCCGAGCGGAGCGAGGGTGAATCGCTAGTGATATATAAAGGCGGTCCGGGAGCATTCGCCTGTAATGTAACAATTTAGATTCGAGCATTACATAAGTGAAGGAGAAGAACTGAGCATTACAGTGCGCAACCTTTAATGCTACAATTTGTAACATTACATTATCGAGAGAGAAGAATCGAGCATTATAATGCGCAACATGTTACAATTTGTAACATCGTGATACAATGTGTAACGCATCTAAACTTGTTTGGTTGTTTGAACCTTTCGTTCGCGTCGGCTAACATTGTAAAAACAACTGACTTGACTGCAGGCGAATACTCAAAATCGAATCTAAATTGTTACGTTACAGCGAATGCTCCCGGTGAGGGACCGCCCTTATATTATATCCTTTGCTTCTTTTGTTTCCTTTGCGACCACTTTTACATAGGTAGAGGTATTTTATCATGCACAGTAAAAAAATAGCTTTAATTTGTATAAATGATGAATATACGCCATGAACGTATAAATGTAAAAAAAGTTCTTTAATGACTCGCAACCACTTTTGCGGCCACTTTTACAGGTACAGGAAATATATCAGGTACAGAAAAAAATTAGCTTTAATTTGATATATAAATGATGAATATACGCCATGAACGTATAAACGTAACACAATATGACCTGCTTACACCTGGCTGCGAAGAGTTTGCGGCCATGTGCGCAACGGCAGCTATCACTTTTCCAAGATCTCTACGTATATTTCTGTGAAGTGGAATATAATTCATTTAATAACAAATGCATCGTTTTTGTTCCAAAAAGACAATTATTATTTATTTTATTAAACATACTAGTGATTTTAATAGGCACCCCGGTCAAAACATGTTGTCCATTTGGTTAGCTATACATATAATAAAAGTAACTAAGTCGAATCTGTACATTAAATATTTTTTTGGGAAATCTAATTGAAATAGACATTATTATCGATACATAGTCCGAATCTGTAGCTTTTTGGATTTTTGTCTGTCTGTCTGTCTGTTACCGCATCACGAGAAAACCACTGGACAGATTTTGATGAAATTTGGTATATAAAAAATGGTTTTGATTAAATACGCTATGAACGTGGCAATCTTGCAGTGGGATCAGTCCATATATACCTAATTAATGCCTACAAGACATCTAACACCTTAGTCTCTCCGGTGACCATGATTGCTGTAAAGCATTCGAAATATCGGGAACCAAAATCGAAATAAATTCACGAAAAATTCTGAAAAGATAGTTTTATTGAAAATGACAAAATATTCGCGTAAATCTAAGAAAGTATTATTTTTAAAAGTTACTTTATCTATAAGTTTTTCTATATGTTTTATAAGTTTAAAATATAAGGAAAATAAAGTTTATTTATTTATTTACTAGCATTGCCCGCGGTTCCGCCCGCGTTCAGATGACCAAAAAGCAAATTCTTAGGTTTTACATATTAGCATACTCTTACAATGCAGTTTTTGTATTTTTCCTCCGAAATGAGATATTTTTTGCCCGCGGTAAAAAGTACCCTATATGTTGACCCGGATAATCAGCTATCACCATACCGAATTTCATTAAAATTCCTCCAGTGGTTTTTCTGTGATGCGGTAACAGACAGACAGACAGACAGACAAAAATTCTAAAAACTATAGATTCGGCCTCTGTATCGATAGTAATGTGATAATGTCTATTTCAATTAGATTTTCCAAAAAGTATTTAATGTACAGATTCGGCTCAGTTAGAATTTTATTATTTGTATAGATTATTATGTTACTTATAATTTTTAGCCATTTGTAATTTCAGATTTATTTGCAAAATATAAACTACCTACTATTAATGAAATCTTTGATTTTGTAAGTTCTTTAACCTTAACATAGTAATAATTTATTCAAAATACTTTGTCAAAGGAGATAATAAAACTTTTTCAATTGTATACGTAGATAAGCAAGTACATATGTATAATATTAAAAAATAGTATCCGCTTGAACACTTACGTTATATGTATAACATTAAAAATATCACATTTCTACAAAAAACAAACTACAGTCCGAAGATAACAATGTAACTTAACTAAATTGAACTTTCCGTATTTTATTTAGTTTCTCGAGGAAATCAAATTACAACTTGTTGAGTTTACCGGTTTACCGTCCACTCTCTCCCCATGAGTGTGGCTTACGCGGCTATTTTAAATATTCATTTGTAAACTACAAAAGATAAATACCCTTTCGTCTTTATTTGTGGTTGGATTATATGTGGCTTATAGTTCGAGGATATGCAGAGAAGCCTCATTTTCAACTAAGGTTGTTTCTGTTACACGTCAGTGAGCAACGCTGAGATGGGAATAAGGTAAGTCGACATGTCCTTTAGAAATTATTTATACAGTTAATAGATTATTCATTTTATTTATACAGTTATATAATATATATTTATAGTAGCTAAAAAGTTTGGAAAAGTCAAATTTCAGAACATTTTAGTATAGAAATGGCAAATTCAATATTGTTATAAAATTGTACCGCTTACCGCTTCAGGAATTTCCGTCAACAGAATAAAAGGCCAAAGAGACGCTTTGTAAAGGGTTATTAAAAGTTCATTTTCATAATACTTTGCTTGTTCTATTTTAATTTTTCTGTGCCTAGAAACGATGATAGTTAAAAAAGATACTAATACTTATCAAATTATGTTAAAAGTTTTATAAAGTATATTTCGACAGTATTATTCGATCATATTATATATAATTCTTCTCATATAATAACTACCTATTATATAAAATGAGTATTTTCTTGATCTTGCTTCTAGTAATTTAATTAATTATTTTCTTTTTTAACGTTGAAAATTTGATATACCTTTAGATGAATATTTTCAAATAGTTAATTCTATATATGTACATACTGGATTTGCATTATGTTTAATCTCTTTCATCATTTCTATTGCTTCTGAAATTGAAAAGTTCGGGCACGTTGCTTGTAATACTGCTACTTTTAATAATGCTACACCGTGATTAGAATCAACTTAAGCAACTCAACCTTTATTGTAGTTTAATGTATACATTATTATTATTCGAATAAATTAATTCTGTATTATGTTCAAGAAAATAAATTTAGAAGTATTATTGAAATTATATGGAGTATCGACGTAAATATTTCAGTAGGCAATATCTCTAATATAGTCAATATATTAATTGTATAATATGTTTTACTGTGTATGTATCTTAGTTTCTAAGTGGATTAATAAATTTCGATGTGGTTTTTCGATATTTCATTTTGCAAGATTATAATAGAAAAATAAACAATATACTTGCCTAATAACAAGTTCGGTAATTACTAACACTAAAGTTTTATTTTTTTTTGTGATTCAGATTAATTCTCCTGCTTGGACTTCTAATAGGAGTGCTCTATTGTCTTCATATTCTCGCTCAAGACTATCAAGCTATATCAGCTCCTAAACTGCTTCGTTTTCTCTTCAAGCGAGATATAAACTCTACTGGATCTGTAAGTTTATAGTTTTGAAATGCTAGTATTCTTAAAAAAATAAGTTATAATCGGCCTACTATTAAAATTGCGAAAATGTATGTATATATTTGTTACTACTTCACGTTGAAACGGCTTTACCGATTTGGATAAAATTTGGTACATGTGTAGATAGACTATAGCATCGAGCAAGGGGATAAGTCGTTCGTATTTCTCCTTAGTTCAAATCCTTCAAACTATTTAAAATTATTATTTGTTCCTCTGATTAAGGTAAGAAGTTGTAATTAACGGGAATCGATCTCGTATCTATGAGGTGGCGGTACTTACTAAGGCAGTTCTAAGCATTATAAATTGTCGTATTTACTTATGGAAAAATAAATTGAATAACCTCGTATGTATTGTACCTCTTTAGGAAGGAGTCAAAGGGTTTTACGTCCACAAAATCCATTTTAAAAATATTTTCTAGCTAACATCAGAACAAGCGAAGAGGCAGCATCCACTAGTGTAGCTAACCAAAAAATTGTTTTCCGTATTTGTAGTCTTACTAGATGTATTTTTTTTAATAAAATATATGTTTTTGTTTAAAGTTATTCTATTTATTGTTTAAAGTTAGCCTGAAAAGATCTAGATCATTGACAAACTAAAAAAAATTTCACTCATACCATATCATAGTAACTTTAATTTTGCGGAACTTGGTCAACAATTTTATCTGGCATCCTCGGAGATATTTCATCTAATTTAGTTTTGTATTTGAATATGTACACTTAGATTTGCCATATATAAATTAGAGGAAAAACATTCAGAGTAACTTACGAGTTTTATAATCTTTATTATTTTATATATAGAAAGCTTCAACCCAAATAAATTTTTAGCAATACCTATTCATGTGTTTACAAGGTTGGATACACATGAAATGACAGTATACAGACTAGGACAAAGCTCTATTGTCCCGTGTGGGGTCTAGGGGTCTATCCTACGAATTTATAAACGTATAAGTTTCTCAGGATGGATATTTGTTACTCTTTCACCCAAAAAGTAATAAACGGATTTTGATAATATTTTACAGTATTATAGCTCATACATCAGAGTATAATTTGTAACACTAGGAATAGAAATAAGCTTGTTACGCCCAGATTTCGACTTCAAAAGGTTAATAAATCCTTTACGGACCTGAGTATACGTATAAATAATAAGATTCCACAGGCTGCCATTATGAACTCGTTTTGCAGTTTTATAGTACCTAACGTGAATAATTTGAGATTTTTTAGCGCTATACTTATGTACCCTTTTATCCTCCTTTAATGGGTAGGCCGTGTCCCTACAGTGGGGACCTTTAGAATTTGATGATGATACTTATTTTTATTTACGATGAAATTTAAAATAGTGATGGCAGCCCCCGACGGATATGCTTGAGTTTATCTCGCGTTACATTATTTTTTAAGTCGAGGTTTTTCAAATTATTTTATCCTTTTTCAATTACTTTTTAACCGTCGTGGGATTTTTCAAAATTTTTAATTTAGCTTTTAATTTTTAATTTTTAGAGAGCATAGATATTATGTATGTACGTTGCCTTCGTCTTTTGCCTCACATACTTTTTTGCGCTTAAATCGTGTACGACGTATATTTAAAAATTTAAATTCTAAAGAATTTTTAGTTTCTACATCACTACCTCCTACAGAAAAACTTACCTATCGAGTTCTATCGAGTGTCCTTATTATGTAGTAGCTACTATAATATAATATATATTAATGGAGCGCCCCCTAGTGAGCTACTATCGTAACACTTATTTAAGAACCCTCACTAATCAACTACAAGCCCATTACTTAAAACCGCATCAAAATCGGACAAGTAGTTTTGGTTTTACACAAACAAATGTTTACTGCAGCGCCCCCTGGTGAGTTATCACCGTAACACTTATCTAAGAACATGCACCAATCAAGTCGGTGCCAGCCAACGCATAGGAAATCTAATATATTTTGATACGTAAAATACATATTTACCTATTAGATATTGATCATATCTTAAAATATTGTCCGCTGGCACCGACTTCGAAAATATCTGATTAGGTATCTATTCTAAATGAAAACCCCCGTTTAGTTATTTTTTACATTTTGGTGCCTGGAATTCGTTTTTTTTTTATTTTTATATTTTTTGTGTAGACGTAATAAGCAGTTAATTTGTAGGAAGAAAGTTTTTAATAACATATTCGATTAAACTATTTAAAAAAATATATTTATTGTAGATTTTTTTTAAAACTGCACGGCCGATTTCGATAAAATTTATATGAGACCACCTGGGAAGTATACCCTTTCAAACAAACCAAAATTTTCCAAATCAGTTCGGGCGTCTTCGAGTAATTGGTGAACATACATAAAAAAAAAGATTCCGACGAATTGAGAACCTCCTCGTTTTTGGAAGTCGGTTAACAAACAAACATCCTCTCACCCCAAACACATATACCGTCTCCGTTCCGTCGTGGGTAAATTCGTCGCATGTTTGGTACGTAAGTACGTAATTGAGCACTCGCATGACTTTTTATACCTACATCTGCACTTCTAATTTTTTTTTAGAATTAAGTAAAACACATACCTGTTCATTATACATATGATATTGTGTTTAGTTACATTGTCTAATGTCTATCGTCATCTATCATCTCGTAGCAAAGGAGCAATAGATCGACCTTTTTGCATAAATATTGTTAGTTTATCGTGTTTATTGCATAAAATATCGGCTTAGCCTCGCTTCGCTTGGGTTCGCACCTAGAAAAACAAAAACAGATCTATCCCACGGGAACCGTATATTTTTCCGGCATACAAGGTAACCTATGTTTTATTCTGATGTATGAGCTATATTATTGTATAGTTTTATCAAAATGAGTGAAAGAGCATATACGAGTACATCTATACATCCTCACAAACTTATACATTTTATTTGGTACTGTGGGATACCCCTAGTTGCTAAACATATTTAACATAAACATGCAAAACATAGTAAACAATAAATTCCTACTCAAATATGACAAAAAAAAGATCTTTAATATGAACTCATACAACTTAGTTGTATATCTTTAAACTTATTTTATACTTTTTCATTGTGAAGCGACCCGCATCTGAATTGCTACACAATTAGAGGAAGTTCGTTTTAACAGCAATTTTTGTAAGACAAATACTTACATTACTTTTTGATGTTTACCCAGCTGTATTTGAATTAGATTTTATACTTTTTACCCGAATGTCGAAGGAAGAAAGTAATGAGTTTCGAATGTATGTAATGTGTCTTTGTTTTCTACGATTTTTGCCTTTACGGCTTGAAGCAATTTAATAAGGTTTCGTTAAATTGGACTTTTCAAATAAAAAAGAAACCGCGTATCGTAACTGTTTGAGTTAAATAGGGTTCATTAAAAAAAGTATTTTTGTCTAATGTACTTCTTTTATTTAACCCTATCTATTAAAAATAAAATTAAACGATCGATCCCAAAAATTATTTAACGAAGATTTTTTGCTAATGTTTTGATATAAGCTTAAAAACCAAACGTAAGTTTAACTTATGGACAGTTTTCTCTTTTCAATTTATATTTTTATACTTTATATTTCTTTTTATATTTATTTCTCTATGTTTTAGTACTGTACTGATTTAGCATTGATTTAAAAGCATTCAGACTGTAGAGTCAAAGCTTAAAATTGAGAATCTTCTATTTATAGATTTTACAATATCTGCCCACGTTAAAATAATGTCAATGTATTTTTTTTTATTGATTCTATGCTATTATACTAATTGCTGCGTGAAGCGTTGTCCGTAGGAGTTACTCAGCTATAGGTATAGCCTAAAATGTTGAATGTTTACCATGTTTTATGTGCCAGACTCGACTTGAGTTTTTGAAATGAAAAGGCAATTTTCCATTTTATTTATTTATTCAATATATTTCAATATTTATTCCCTTTTTTACCGTCCAACTCCGGGATCAGGCCTTAGTCCACCACGCTGTTCAACTGCGATTTGGCTGAATTCAAATGTATTTCAAAAATTGGTTGGTTCTCTCAGACGTGCAGGTCCTCCTCACGATTTTACGTTCATCGTAAGACAAGTGGTAATCATGTTGGAAATGATTCGTACATGAAAATATTAGAGGTGCGATACCCGGTATTAGAACTACACTCGGTTTTTCAAGCTAGCGCGATACCACTGTACTGCTACTGCCTCAAATTTTATTATATATTAAACAATTTAATAATATGACCTGGTGAAATTATTTTTATGGCAATAATTTATGTCCCATAGTTGACCAGGTGATGGACATTCAGACATGCACATAGATAATAAATATTCTAAAAACTAGTTTATAAGGTTACTAGTTTCATAACAATAAGTAAAGTTTTTAATCATAATTATATTTAGTGTAATCAAAGTCAAAGGAAAACATAGTTAAGTCAGGCCTTTTTAAATAACTGTCTATAAAACTGTAAGGTTTCTAACGACCAAAGGTTATCTAGGGACGGTCTGACTTTTGCCCTATAATAAATATGCACTAGTAAATTATGCTCTAACATTTAAATACTGTTGTAGTAAAAATGCAATTTAAACATTTTAAATTGTAGATTTTCTTTGAAAATTCTAAAGTTATTTATATAATTTGCTTTTTGCTTCTGCTTAAAAACCACACAATATTACATTTACTTATTTGACGTTTATATTCTTTCCTAATCTAATAATAACGTTTTCACAGGGTTATTTTATCTGAGACTGGTTGGTTATTATTATATCTGTCCATGTTTTATTTAAGTTTGGACGAAATATTGTAATAAAATATCTTTGTGAAAGATACAGATACAGAAAAATACTCTCTAAATAGGTAGATATATTTTATACCCAAAAATATTTTCAAACATATTTTCGCTATAGGTATATGACAGATTATTTATAATTAGGAAGCTATCAAAAGTATTTTTTAAATTTAGTATGTAAATAGAAATTTAAATTATATCTAAAACTTCTTCTTCTTCTTCTCCCTGCCCATTTCCCAAATCACTTGGGGTCGGCGCAGTACATCTTCAGTGTACTGCTGATAGGATTTGGCAAAAGTTTTACGACCGGCCGCCTGCCTGACGTCAACCCTCCTTGGGAATGCTATTGTCTTTCTTTGTCTGAATGGTGTTAAATATTATGCACTTTCGATTTTTTTGTGTTTTAAAACATTTTTTATACTATTAATTCAATTATTAATGTTATTTTTGGGTATATTTTAAAATAAATTTCGATTACACAATAAATTTTGTATTGACGTTGTCAAATTTTTTCTTCTAAAAAATTATAAATTAAAATTATATCTAAAACATTTACATTATTTTCATACATCTCTTAAAGCAGGCTCTAGGGAGCATTAGTCATGTCTAAAGACGACTCAACATATTAAGCAGTTACTGTGTTTTCTTTTATTGTACCTACTGTTTGCGCGAATTAAAGATTTTCATGTAGTAAAATGTATGCTAAATGTTGACCCGGGTAATAAATTATCACTACACAAAATTTAGTTAAAATTTTGTTTAGTACTTTTTACGTGAAAATTACGTACAAACAGACAAAAATATCAATAAGTATTGTTTTGGGACCGGAGTTTAGGAGCAGTTTTTTGTAATATTTTATATGTTTAAAAAATACTTTATTTAGCTATTATTAAATCAAGTAGTAATTAAGTTCGTTAAAGTTACTTAGAACTTTAAACTTAAGGAATACCAAGTAAATGCATCATATGTACTCGTACCATGCATCGCATCGCAACTTGATATAATTAATTATACTCGTAGTTATGATGAGTTTCAACAAATAGATAAATTAGTTTCTTAAAGCAAGAACACTAAATATTTCTAAATTTTATTTCGTCATCTTAATATTATAATATACTAGCGGCTCACCCTCGCTTTGCTCGAGTTCGCTTCTAGGAAAACATAGATAAACCTATCCCACGGGAACCGCTCATTTTTCCGGGATAAAAAGTAGCCTATGTGTTATTCCAGACTGTAATCTAAGTATCTCTGTGCTAAATTTCATCCAGATCCGTTCAGCCGTTTTGGCGTGAAAGAGTAACAATCATCCATACATACTCACAAACTTTCACATTTATAATATTAAAATAATACGGATATTAAATACGGATTTATGTGTTTTACTATAACTTGTGTGTTTTTCACTAAAATAAACTATTTTAAAGCTCTGTTAAGCTTTCATTTAACTATTATTCACCTTTTTTAATACCGTTAATGCAACGTAAGTCGTCAATTTCATGAAAATATATGTATATTTCTTCGTATTTCTTGGAAGTTAGAAGGAGAAATGGAAATAAATAACAAATTACATCCTCCATTCTCCAAATAAAGTTGTTTTCAAGAGTTTTTTTTTCATTTTTGACTGTTGTATACCCATTGCAATTATTTTTCAGAAGCCTACAGTGAGATGGAAAAAGATATTAAAGTATGACCCAATACAATGTGCCCGGTACCTCTATTGTGATCTAGGGGCACGTCTGCCAGACAATGAGCTGAGACGAGGCTTCATCTACATGCTGACGTAAGTATTTTAATATACGAAATTATTAAGCCTCCAAAGCGACATTCATTCGTTGTGCGATTCAGTTTTTCTATTCATCTTACTCATTTTCACTGCCCGTTATACTTTATATTATGAATATAATTTCGAAATTGTACTTAGTAATAATCATGCGTATGGTAGGTACTTTAAAAAAAAACAGCTTAGTTTTGGAAATTAGTAGTATTGTGTTTATGTACATCTGTTTCCAAATTTTTATTTTGCTTCAACAATATTTTTTAATATTTACTTTTAAGAAGAAAAACTTGTATTTTAGTATATTGAACTAGAGGAAATTTGCAGTAATTCTTAGTACTTGTACGTATAAGTGTCTTAAAGTCTATTCCAACGCGAGTTTTATAAATAGCGACCGGCTCTTGCTTTGCTCAGACCCTATTTATACTTTAATCGTCCTTGAGTTTACAGATTTTCATATTGTTTGATTACTTGTACAAACCTTCTCAAAAAACTTTATGGAAAATTTTACTATAAGACACCTAATTAGTAGCATAATATTGGTAGTTGCTATCAACCAAAAAGAAGTTAAATATATGTGTGTATGTGTTATTATGCGAGTTGGACCGCAAGCTACAGCTTGTCATAATTAAAACATAGCTCATAACATTCATTATATTCATATTTTTTTACAAATTATAAACTTCACTTTGGCCAATAGTGACTTGAAAAACATATTACTTTTATATTATACCTGTAACTAAATTTTATTAAAACATCTCAAATTTATAAGAGTTGAATGAAAATCAGTTAGAAGAACAAAATACATTTTTTTTTCACAAATGCTCTATTTGCGATCTTATTATATACCTATTACTATATATACTTATAAGCACATTACATTATATACACAAACATTTAACTAAGTCAATGAAAATATAATTAAAAATTGTTGAAGAACTAATTAAGTACCTATTAATTAATTTGCACTAAAAGTCGACCCTAAGAGGTTGAAGACATTCAATTATTTTAAGTGGATTCTTTTTCTCGAACATGTTGGCTTAATAAAGTTGAGCCTTTTTGTGGGAAACTTAATGAAAAACGGAAAATAGAAACTAACTTAATAGCGTATATTGCAAAAGGAAGTTGTGAGCAGAGAGTACAGAGTAGAGTAGGCGAAGGCGCCACAGATAACAAAGATGTAAATAAAATATTATTTAATCTGCTTGCGTTGTGTTTATCTTCCAACACCTTTAAAGTTTTTTTTGTATATCTAGGTAAAGTCAAATATTAGACCTCTGGATAAACTGGCCGAAATGATCATTAAAGTAAAACAACAATGTCTACCAAACGTACTTGATGGGTTGCCGTTTAGTAGCATGTGACTCTCTCTCTCATTGCGAATGGGATCGCCGTAGTCCAACTGGCCAAGTGCGGTTTGGTACCCAAAACTAGTTAGGTTATCTCAGACATGTAGATTCCTTAATAAGGTTTGTATTCATCATAAGGCAAGACGTGGTAATTACGTTGAAAATGATTCGCACGTGAGAATATCATCAGTTTGAAAAATCTAAGAAAGCTATTACTACATAATAAAATGATATCAGATTAAAATCCTATATACAACCAATTTTGATTTTTTGTTTAGAGTCATAATATTGTTTTCAAGGAATAAATTCATTAGTAGGTATTCGCATTACGAAAAAGTATTTGTAATTCACAGAATTATTTTATCATCGGTTTCTCTTATTAATTCCGTTGGTACATTTAAAGTAGATATGTCTGGTCGGTACATATAATAATAATTGAAGTGCCTCTCAGTTGTTCCAAGATAATTAATTACCCTATAACAAGCTTATAATATATCTAACTAGCATTGCCCGCGGCCTCGCCCGCGTTCAGATGACCAAAAGCCAAATTCTTAGGTTTTACATATTAGTATACTCTTACATTACAGTTTTTGTATGTTTTCTCAGAAATGAAATATTTTCCCGCTGTAAAAAGTATCCTATATGTTGACCCGGATAACCACCAGCTATCATCATACCAAATTTAATCAAAATATCTCCAGTGGTTAACTTATATCCCTCCAAACGGACGGACGGACGGACGGACAGACGGACAGAGAGACAGACAGACAAAAATTCTAAAAACTATAGATTCGGCCTCTGTATCGATAATAATGTCTATTTCAATAAGATTTTCCAAAAAATATTTTATGTACAGATTTGACTCAGAATTTTATTATATGTATAGATTATTTGCATCTTGAATCCAAACACTATTTTTTGATAAATAAGTTAAATTGTGGTGGGGAGTGTGGGCTGTCTCATTAGCGTCCGGCAACCCAGTCGGGTGCAAAGCTAAGAAACTTACTGTTTGAACAACCAAGTGCTTGAGTGCGTAATTGATCCTGCGACTCCTTATACCTTACTTGCAACGATTAAAAAAAGAGCAAAAAAAAGAAAATGCTAGCAATTTTAAGACGAATTTAGTATTTTTATAACTAAAATTATGAAATTTGAATTAAAAAATGTAATGAGAATTTTATAATTTTATAAAATTTTAGTTATATTTTTATAATAATTATTTTTGAATCACGGGGAAGGGTTTAGAATAAGAAACTTGGTAAAGACTAGTGTAAAATATATTTAAATTTGTGGTAAATTATATTATAATGTATCTCTTTAGCGCACGTAATGTTGTACAGAGTTTTACCAATAAGTACGAAGCTAAAGTGGGCTACAAGAAATCTTTACTAGCCAAACTAGTGGATATGTGAGATAGTAGGTATATTTAGGTAGCGAGTCAGAACAGTGCAGAAATGTATTAAATACGAATAATTAATGTTTTGTATTTATGGATAATTAGGATGATGAGACCATAGGATCGATCGGTAATATAAATAGTGTCCATATTTCTAAAATGACGAAGTTAAACAAATGCTAAGTTTGATCCCCAATTTAACCCCTTTGGGAGATAAGTTTTAAAAGTTCTTTCTTAGACATCAGCTTCAGTATGTAAGGAACTCTTGTATACAATTTAATATTTCTAGACTCAGTGCTTTATTTAGGCTATGCACTGTCTGTTAATCAGTGAATGTTCGAGTACATTAAGCCCGATTATGTCGATTCGTATACGAAATTTTGAACCGATTTGTTGCTCCGTATTAACACGTTCACTGCGTAAGGAATTTTAGTGTAATCTTTGCTGGTGCGTCATGTGGTTATATTGACTCACAGAAGACCTTTTTACAGTGCGTCGTGTGGTCAAATAACCCCTCATTCAGTTCTGTTTTGATATAGGTTTTTCTCAATGGTGATAGTTATTATTGAATATATTTTATTTTGAGATTAAAGACCAATAACCAAGCAATATACACCTAGCTGTGTTTTTAGCTCGCTTGTTTCGTTTAGCGTCTAAAAGAGAAACAAGTTGTGGGGTCCGTTTGACCTCACAACGCACTTAACATATCAAAACACTAGTGATGACTAGGGAAACACGTCTGTTGTATAGCACTCGATAAATTTTTCCAAAATTTTATTGACACTTTAATTTTTAACTTTGTAAGTCACAGACTTGAAAAATAACAAAAGGAAAATATTTGAGAAAAAAAAAAGATTTTGTGTCTATCCTACTGTATGTTTTACTTGGGAAGATGTTCGAAATAATGCTGAAAAGAGGCTCAAGAACATTTCCAAGTGGCTTAATTGGAATATACTGACGCCTAATACAACTGAAACAAACTGCATGTGCTTTATTGATTGATTCAACGTTCCAAACCGCCGCATAATTTCAAATTGAGGATGTAGCTAGTGAAATAAACAATATTTTTTTATCTTTTAAATTTAAATAATATTTTAAATAAAAAGTGACAAGAGATAGGCGAAAACGTAGGCGCAAAAAATGGCTTCAAACGACGCAACGTCTTCACTGTGGATAGCGTGGCACAACTCTGAGTGCACGAAATGGCGCGAGCGCATCGTTCAGTACGGATGTGAGTTTCGCGGAACGGTAGATAATATTGATTTCATACCGCACTAGGGTGAAACATTTTTCTTTAGGTGCGGTTGAGGTCAAATTAGCTCACGAGTGTTTGAAAATGCTGGATTGTTTACGTTAAAGCGGCAATAACAATGGTATATAAATATCTTTCCTACGATAGAAATACACAATGTTATGCCTTCCGCACCAGGGGAATAATCGATATTTTGCTCGCCGCACCACATGAAAGTTCGCTATGAGCCAATATGACCTCACAACGCAGCGAACGTGTTAATTGAAATAAGGATGAAATTTGACTCAATCAAAGTAAAGTATTAAGCTGAATTATACATAGGTATATCGGATTCTCGGAAAGAGCAATTTCGGTGTAACGTGAGGGTAATTTTACCTTACATTGGGATAATTTAACTGAATCTAATTAGTATGTATACTAGATAACAGTGATGTAACTTTGTCTTGTAAACTAATTGAAGTACCTGACCCGTCTCAAGTACGGTCCAAACGCCCATATTCGTAGTTATATAAGCGATACCTAGCTTTATAATGAATGAGGGTCAAGTTTAATCCACAAGATGGGTTTGGTACACAAATAAAAGGATTGCCTGTATTTCCTTCTAAGCTAACTTTTAAGGACTCAACACTTTTTTTATATGTAATAAATAAGGAGGGATAGGCTGCCTGTAACAACTATATAAACCCTTTGAAACATTTAAAACCCTAGTCCCTCTCGTGACCATGATTGCTGTAAAGCATTCGAAATGTCGGGAACCAAAAATCAAAATAAATCCACGAAAAAGTCCTAAAAGATAGTTTTATTTTTTAGTAAAATTATTAAATGTCGCTAATAGTGTTGAACTGATTGAGTAATATCTATAACATATTAATGCGAAAGTAACTCTGCCTGTCTGTTTAACGTTTTCACGCGTAAACCGCTGAACCAATTTTAATAAATTTTGGGATAGAGATTAATGGAACCTTGGAGAAGGTTATACCTAGTATTTAAACTTCTACGTATTACTACTTTTTGTCGCAAAAATTAAACTTGAAAGGGGATAAAATGGGGGTTGAGAGTTTGTATTGGAAACAAATAATTTCTCAAGTTAAGGATTATGATGTATGTGAAATTCGTTATCTGTATATGTGTATAAATATTATAAATAATATGAAAAATTGTGAGGATGGATGTTTGTTACTCTTCCACGCCAGAACGGCTGAACGGATCTGCATGAAATTTGGCACAGAGATAGATTATAGTCTGGAATAACATATAAGCTACTTTTTATCCCTGTAAAATATACGGTCCCGAGAGATAGATTTGTTTTTGTTTTTCTAGAAGCGAACCCGAGGGTGAGCCGCTACCATATTATAATTTTGGTAAGAAACAAAGAATGTTTCGGTGTTGGTGCCTAATCAAGGCAAATAGGATAGATTTCAAGTTTTTTCAAAGTACTTACCTACTTTTTCATACCTATGTATGTACGTATACATATATAGTTTATTCTATGCTAAACGTTATATCGAAAAAAAACTAAGTTTTAAATCTTGAGACTTTCACCCTTTTGGCGAATGAATTAAGTTGAATGAATTGAATAATTTACTTGAACGATAAATAGCTGTATAAAAATGTTCAATATGAAATGAATATATATATATATATATATATATATATATATATATATATATATATATATATATATATATATATATATATATATATAGTACTTTTTTAATTTTATGATATTTTTGAAGTTATACTTCTTTTGACACGTTTGAAAAAAATATGAGACAGCCAAAAAGCGACATAATGAAGTTAGCTGCATACCTTTTCCAAACAGAGAGTTGTGACATACGGGATGAAATCTTTAGCTACTTTTGTTCTGTTACGCCAAAGAAGTATAACTTCTTACGTGCGTACATACACACGTTTTGTTTTCCTTGTCTACTACGATTCAAACTACATTTTTTGTAAAATTATCTTTTTTATTTAAAATAAAGTTAAATATCATATCATAATATAATCACAATATTATAGGTCTCGTGATAAGGCAAATAAAAAAAAAACAATTTAAAAATAATATATTTGGCTTAGTTTCTTTACATTTCCAAAACTTTATATAAATTTTCAACACCTGTAGTAATTAGGCATAATAATTATTATTAATATGTGCATTGTAAACAACCAAACGTATAAAACTTGCTGTTATTGAATGCTTTTCATCCAAACTAAAAACTCCATAAATCGCCTAACTAGATCATAATATACACAGCTCACTTAACTTTATATTCCACAACCCTTGCCTTTAAACCTCTCGAACAATAAACTAAACGTCGGTTTTTGCTAAGCAAGCCGCAAGAGAAAGTTCCAATTGGATTTCATGTATAACTTTATGGGTGGGTCAAGTTTAATGCTGCTTGATGGCGATTAGTATTAGATCGTAGCTTGAACATATCTTATAACTTTGCCTTTCATTATTATGTGGGTGCTTCTGCTTAGTACAATCAGTTATTTGATAAATGAATACCGCCACAGATTGATTTGAGGAGAAAACTTATTTATTATTAAATAAAAATAAGCTATATAAATATTTTAAAGTGTTATATTTAAGACCAAATTCAATTTTTTACATCACTTTGGGCTGATTAAATTGATAAAACGATGAAAAAAGGATTTTATTATACATTTTCACAAGTAGAACTTCTACTTTCAATTTAAAAGGGACCACGCTTGTATTATGCGGGATAAAATTATAAAAGGGTCCTTAGAATCAGTTAACATTCGCTGAAGATATCATAATAAACTCAAAAAACCCACCAAGCCTTTTCTTTATTCTTTAAACATATATGACGGCGTTTAAATTAAAAATAACCCAAAAGAAGAGATATGTTTCTACACAAATTATGTCATGCGTGTTTACATTAAGACTTTCACAATTACATCACAAAACGAGAAAAGCAAGTACATTTAAAATAGAAGTTATTTCTACAAAGATATATTCAAGGAACCAGCAAGTGTTTTAATCGAGGTCACTCTCATTTAAACGGGTTTATCATGTAATGATGGTCTTTATCGCGTTTCACGATTTAAATATTACAATTTATTACTTAACCTACTATTATAGCATTCATAAGGATGTCAGATTCTATTATGCAAGAAGTCATGATAGTAATATAACGGTGACCTGAGGTGAGCTTATATAATTTTGTATTTTCCAACATACATTCATGATAATATTTTTGCATAAGAGGAAAAGTTTTTAACTTTACTCAAATAGACTTTTACAAGCACTTTTGAATCGTCAATTTTACATTTTTAAATTTTAATCAAATGCCAGTACCCACCTATGTACGTCCGTGAGGAAGTTACGGCCAGCTCGGAAGGTAGTTCTGCTAAGAAAGCCAGCGAGAAACTCAACAGTTGCTTTTTTTTAAAAAAAATAGTTTACAATATTGCAATACAATGAAACAAAGAACTATATATCCTATACGAGTATATCCTACTGATATTATAAATGCGAAAGCTTGTGAGGATGTATGGATGTCTGGATGTATAGATGTATGGATGTTTGATACTATTTCACGCCAAAACTACTAAATGGATTTTCATGAAACTTTATAATAATATAGCTCATACATCAGAATAATAATAATATTTTGTCAGACATTACAATATATGAATTAAGATACATACGTATACATACAATGGTCACTATACTAATGGTCACATATCTGTATTGTATATGTTTTTTCACGAATTTAAATAGAAGGGTGAGAAAAAATAATCTCAAGGTTACGTCGTTCCAAGGAATTCAAGTTATATTCTATCAATTTTTAGTAATACTAGTGAAGCTGATGAATCTTACTTTTGCATTTATAATATTAAATCTAAAATTTAATTTCACTTTGTGTTTATTATTATGTCAAACTTTATAACTAACAATAGTTAGACAAAGTGCAACTTTGGATACCGTCACCTGAATAAGCCGTCTTGATATTGTCAAGAAGACAAGATTATAAGACTTAATTTTTTATTTTATTTGAAAAATATTAAGATGTAAAGTTATATTGCTTTTTACTCTCACTCTACTGTGTTTATTTAAAATTATGATTTTTTAACGTAAGCTTTTTAAGAGATCTATTTCCTTTAAACAAAAATGTAATTTAATGCACAAACTAAAATATGTGCAAAGTAGTTTAAATTATACCCGACCAAGCGAATTCAGGACAGTAAAATTCTCATTGAAATTTCATTCCCGCTGATTCCAGCTTAGGCGTCAAAGAAGAGGATAAAATAGCTCAAGAGGTGTTCAAGACTGCATACTACGAAGGAAAGTTATATCGTTCAGAATATTGCGCCAAGACATATTGGATGTGTCCATTTAAAGCTTCCATGTTGCTTGATTTGGTGCGCTACTTGTTACAAAAAAGTGATCATGAGAATGCATAGTTTTTCTCTCTCGTCAAGTGATCATGAGAATGCATAGTTTTTCTCTCTCGTCATTTCGAATTATTTAGAGAGTATTAATTTAATTTTGATTTTTAATTTAATTTATTTTTTTAAGTTCTATTGACCGATTTCGGCCACGGCGGCCAATCTCATTGTGACTAGCCAACTGCGCAGGAAATAATATAGTGCACAAGCATGCGCGCAGATACAAGTGCACTCTCTATTCCTGTTACTCTTATACTCTGGTGGGACGACTACTCGACACAACCAGTGAGGTGAAATACCGCCAATTTATCTACTCCGGGCTGTTACTGAGGCTTACTAAATAGAAAGACATAGATTTTTATATATAGATTTTTCGGCTTGTTAGCCTTACTATCATAGATAGTTACAAAACTTGAATCATCTATGATGTGGAGCTTATTGATTTTGGGATCTTGGGAAAGAAGACAAAAAGAAGGTTTATTTAATATTTTTAATAAAACCGTTGTAACTCCTGAATAATTCATAAAAAGCAGGCCTATGTGGAGCAGTGGACGACGTTCAGTTTAAATGATGATGATGATACGAGTATATTTGCTTTTTCGTGGTACCCTGATATTGAAGTTGTAATTTGTTTGCTCCTAACAATACACTAAACTAGTTAAAATCCTAATCGAGACATATTATTTGATCGACCTAGATAATATGTACTTTAACTTTGAACGATCTTTTTTTTTTGTTTTACTATAATTGTATAATAAAATGGAAAAGGTAGCTAATTATGTAGAAAAAAGTCTTTTCTAAGTAATAAACCAAATATTATATAATAAATACTGTTGATTATTATTATTTTATATATAATAAGAAATTGTTTTATGTGATATGTATTAATAAGAAGTAGATTTACAACATAAGTAGATAAAAATGATAAAAAGTGTTAAGTTTTCCTTTTTTACATAAAGGTCATTCGATCCAGCTTTTACCTTTTTTTAACTCCGTTTCCAGAAAAATATTGTTTTCGTATAATTTCCATACTTTGTCTATATTACTAGGTAGTATTTATAATAGGTAAAATTTAATATATCTTTACTTAGTGTTAACTTTTTTTGTTACGCCATACCATCGCCAAGTGGGAACCAATTTTAATGAATAACGTATGAATATACATATTTCTATAATATAAAAATGAATCGCTGAATGTGTTGGTAAGCGCAAATCTCGAGAGCAGTTGAACCGATTTTGCTAATTCTTTTTTTAGAATATTCCTTGAAGTACGAGGATGGTTCTTACGGAGAGAAAAATTTAAAAAATTGCCTGAAAAAGTCTAAAAACAAAACTTTTCTATACTCCCATACAAAAGATTATTTTATTTATTAGTCGTAATAATACTTAAAAGTATTATTACGAATAATAAATAAAATAAAATAAAGTCAATTTGAACTTTAATACCACAAAGTTTAAGTGTTAGTGGGAGGTTCCGGGAAGGCAAAACAATTGGGTGACGTTAGTATCGTACAAATATTAATGTCAATATTTGTCAATATTATTAACAAAAAAAAAATTATATGGCTAACGCTGGCTAATAACTATTTATATCTATTTAAAACGTACCTAACGACGAACCCGAGCGAAGCGAGGGTGAGCCGCTAGTATATATTTAATAATAAGCGTATTTAGAAATGTTAAAAAATGTCAGTTTTTTTAAGTTATTTAGAAGTCGGTGTACTTTTTATTTAAAAACTGTAGTGTACTGTATACATTAGTGTGTGTACAGTATACAAAAGTGTTTGTAGCACCTCAATAATAGTTTAGTTTTCTCATTGTGGTATACACAAATATATGTAAATAAATTATGTACTTTAAAGAACAATAAAAATATGAATGACATTATTAAATTAAAAAAAAATAACAATTGATTTGAAAGTTTTTGTAATAATTACACTACAGCTTTATGTTTAATTTAATTTATAACAAAACTTTTGTGAGTACACCTAATTAATTATTTACAATTTATTTAAATAAACGTTAACAAGCATCAAATTACGTGTTCTTTATTTTTACAATTTACTTATAATTAATAAATAATAATTAATATTGCTACGAATACATATAAAATATAATTAATTTTGCTATTTAAAAATATAAAAGATTTTACGGTCCTGTTTTCATTCATTTATTTATTTATTAATGTGCCATAAAATATATGTTATACAAAATAAAGTAACAGAATATCAACAAAGGATAACTTATCTGTTTAAGAGATTTCTTCCAGAAACCCTTCAGAAGTGAGAAAATAAGTTAATTTATATGTATAACATTAAATGGTATTAACTTAATATTAAAATATATTAACTAAATATTATAATTTTACAAAAATATATATTCATACACACATACTTATATACAAACATATATACCTACATATATACTTACATAATCGTACATACATGTATACTATAATTTATATCTCATTTGGTAGATATTACTGTTTAATTCTAAATTAAAATGTTGTGAATGGGGGATCATCTTTGAAAATATAATCAGGTAGTGAATTCCACAATCTTGCTGTCATAACAGAAAAATATTTTTCATAGAATATTGTATTGTAGTGAGGAACCACTAATTTGGGCAAATTGACACAAAAACGCACTGGTCTGCATTTAGGGGGCACTAATGTAAAACGCTCACTTGAAGGTGTAGAAGTTTTCATAATTATTAGGAAAAATAAATAGAGAGTATATTCTATTGTTACTATTATGATTTATATATGGTATTATTACAACTAACTGGCTCGGTAGTCTAGTGGACAGCATGAGGCTGATCCGGAGGTCCTGGGTTCGAGTCGGCTTTGGTCAAGTTCAGATATAAGTTTTTTTCTGTTATGAAATTCACAATAACATCCCCGAATTGAAGATTTGGCGAAGTATAAGCCCCGTTCCTCGGAAAGCAGATAAAGCCGTCGGTCCTCTGCCTAATCTCTCACCGGTCGTGTTAAATTGTCGGATTATAAGAACGTCAGAATTTTTAATATTAGAGATTAGTAGAGAAGAGACAAAAAGTTTATATATAAAAATAGTATTTATATATGAAATAGTGGAAATCTAAAAATAAGCACCTACTTTTCATTGATACGAAAGACCTGAAAGTGACTATTAATCCAGTTACTGTACGACTAATAAATAATTATTTATTCAGCTACTTTATTTTGTTCTTTTTTATTTTACATTTAGATCGTCTAAAATCTACTAAATATCAATACAAAATATAAATCTACTTAATAAAAAATATTTGTAAGTTTTAATTTTCGATTATGTGACAGATCCGAATTGGATAACGTAGGTTGAGAAGGCTCAGGCAAGAGCGTAGCGTAGCACGCGCCATAGCCTTCTCGTTAGGTCTTTTTTTATTTCACACCCAGAACCCCCAATATCTATCATAATAAAACTGCTTAGTGCTATTTAAGATTTGGTGACAGTTTTGATTTGAAAATATAGGTGTCGGATAGTATCAGAGGAATCGGAAGTGTCAAACGTATTTTTTTTAACGATACACTTCAATTTTTGAAAGGATGAGGACATAGATACATTTTGTGTGTCTTTCAAAAGCTCTAAATTAAGAATGGTGGTCCTAGATTTAAATACCCATATTTTTCAAAAATAATAAATTATTTGTACAGTTACTGTATCAATAGGTTAATCTCGGAAGAATTAATGTAAATCAATCGATAAAGTTTGATTACGGCTTTGCTTTTAACTGATCAATATTCAAATTAAATCAAGTAAGGAGACAATAATAATTTGCCAACTAATTTATAAAATTATTAAGAGTTAAAGTTTGTGAGTTTGAATGCAATAGGTACTAGAGAAAGATTATAAGAATAGTAATAGAAAACTACTTTATACAGGTATTTATATTATATCAAATGTTTTTGGACATATATCATAGTAAATCGTAAAAGTTTACAAAATCTACCTCTACCTACAACCCAGGTGTAGTTTTTAGTGATAAATATAACATCTCAACGCATTTTTATAATATCTGAAGGTTAAAAATACCTACATTTTATTCAAACCGTTTGACATTTAAAATATAAGAGATACGAGTATTTCGAACAATACTTTAAACTTAACAGTAAGTATCGGGCCACATGAAAATGAAACATTAATTTAAACAGGGAAACTTACATCTATTTTGTACTTAATAACAGAATGTTAATCAAATTTCCTTTTACAAGCTAGAGCCTGGGCCAGTAAGAATTTATTGGGTACTTTCGAAAACTTATAAGGTTTTAAAGACTTAACTTTCGAAGTAGATCATAAAATTACCTGGTTTTAGTGCACTTTTAAAAGAAACTGCTTATTCACGTCGTCCTGTTGTAATAGATTTTGTTTTTTGCTGTAAAAGCACGAAATCCTTTGCCGATAAAACGACGTTTGTTGCGGTTTATTTGTAACTGTTTAGGTGGGAATAATCTCTTAAAAGCGTAGCATCGGTATTGTGAGGGAAAATTGAATAAGTTCTATCGTTGGTAGCGTTTTGTTAGAATAAAATACGAATAAAATACGAATAAGGTGTACGTAGTTGTATGTGTGTGTGTTGATTTCTAGTAAATTTGAGAACTTAATAATTTTGTAGTTTTTTTTAAGAGGAATGGGAGGTAAGGTGTGACAACTATACCTTCTTATTTTCAAACCCACTTGCTCGTGGTTGGATATTATATCTTACTGAATAACTAATTCTGATCATACATTTTATTTTGGGTTGAGTATATTATAGTGTGGTTTCCCGTGGGAATAGATAATCTCCCGTGGTAAAAAGAAACCTATGTCATTCTCCAGCCTTCCAACTATCTCCACACAAAAAATCACGCCAATCCGTCGTCCGTCCGTACGTATTGTTTTAATTTAAAAGTTAGGTTTCAATCAAATTTTAGTTCCATATTTTACCCCTCTATGGGATGAATTTCGAAAAATGCAAAAACACATATTTATTTAATTATATTGAAGAGCATCAAT